AATTAGTATATGTAATCTATGACATTGTAGAGGTAGCCATGACATTCCATTTCATTAACCAAACCTCCCAAGGATTTGTAGGAATTTTGTGCATCCTCACGACGACCACGTCATCTGCAAACCTAAAACATAACATAATTGTAGGAATGTTGTGCATCCACGTAAAGACGATGACGTCTATGAACTCCTTATTGTCAACATAGTACATCCAAGTTTCCATATTAGGTAGACAACAATCGCAATTTACCATCCACGGTCTAGAAATCCAGTATAATATCCTTTTACATCACATAAATATTAATTATAAATTTTTAATACAAAATTATAACCAAAACCTATATAATAATATCATATGCGACAGAAAAACGTGGATAATATCAAAATCCTAATTTATTCTCAATTCATAGTGCAATGAACATATGAATTAGGTGTATAATCAGCATAACTTAGTATGATATCCAAAATAACATGATATGTATCATTGATAAAAAAAAATCACGTTTAATAGGAAAAATATCCAAAGTTTAAAAAACGGTTGGAAAATACAAAGGTGAGGCACAAAAGAGAGAAAAAATTGTTATTTATATATAGAGTACAGATACACAAATACAATGAACAAATAATCGCAAACTCCTTCAGTCGGTCAATAACCTTTTTTAAAGTCGGTCGATAGAATCCCCAAGCTAGTCGATTGGACAACATCTCTATCTTGAAGTTCCTTAACTCTGATTGGATCGTCAAGCCGATCGCTCGACAATCCTTCTGCCAAATGCTCTATTCAATGCAGTTCCTAACCCCGCAAATTTATCATTTGTCCCCCAACACTTCAATTTCATCCTAGCATATACCCTAAGGTTTCAGCATTCTAGATTCCGCTACAACACTATTTTATTCTAAAACTATGAATAATCATATTTTCACATTTAGTTCCAGTCAATAAACCATGGGGTTTACATGAATTGTCTAGCTCATATGTGCATATCTCTTAAAAAGAGAAATTGGAAAATTAGTTGTGGTAAAATGGGAAGACAATAACAAGAACCTTTTGCACCGTGATGAATGCATGTATATGATATCATCCCAACAAAAGAATTCCAAAACACAAGCCATTAATATTGATATAACCGATGATTGTGGGATATCACTTAAGGCGTCTTACGAATTTATGAGTATCCAACTAGGTGAAAGGGAAAGCTTAGGGTTCAATAGCAAGACCAAAAGGATTACCTCCATGAAAGTAGGCAACAAGACTTGAGGTATGATGAAATGGATACTTTGTTGAAATATTTATGAATGGAAGAAACTAAAAATTCATCATTCTATTATAGAACCCAATTGAATATCGAGAAGCATATCACAAAAATATTTCTGGTCAGCCCAAAAATTATTTTTTATTATGGCCACTTAGGGATGTTGTCTTATTTGACACAATATTCCAAACCAACAAGGAGGACCAACCCTTGGCTTATTTTATTGACTTCAACCATTTTAGGGAGATAGTGTTATTTGGTGCTGCATTGTTGTACGATAAAAACAACTTCGTTCAATGGTTATTTAAGACATTTTTACAAGCTATGTTTGAGAAAAACTCTGTTACCATCTTTGTCGGCCAAGATCAAGCAATGGACAAGGCTATATCTCAAGTGATGCCAAAGACATATCATGGGGTATGTTGTTAGAACATTTCCTAAATTGTTTTAAAGCATTTAAGGAACACATACAAGGATATTTAAATTTGTTTTCTCAGTTTAAAGAATGAAAAACATGAGTTCCTTTGAGGCTTGAAAATTGTTGATTGATGAGCATTGAGAGATAAATGAGCACACACACACACACACATATATATATATGAAAATGACTTTCACTGCAAGTATAAGACGCACCCAACTCAATGAGAGCTTGAACCAATATTATAAGGGTACTTAAAGCAAGACCATGACATTGTTTGGTTCTTTACTTATTTTGATAGAGTTGTAAATAATAAGTTGTATAAGGAGTTCAATGCAAAATACCAAGCTAGTCAAAATTTGTCTAGATTGAAGTAAACAAGAGCTCCCATGTTGGTACAAGCAGGACAATACTACACTCCTCTTATATTTGAGTTATTTCAAAAAAAAGTATGACACCTTCCAATGTCCTCTTGTGAAGCCATGTGATGTGTTGGATGGATGACAATGTGTTAAACAACCATCTACTCCAAAATCTTAAATTTTTAGAGAGGTCGAAACTATATCCCCTGACATGCAGGCTAGATTTTGGGTCTAGCAAGTGAAATTTTTTTTAATAATTAGAGTGACAGCGAAATTCGAACAAATGACATTTTGCTCTGATATCATATTAAACAACTATCTACTTCAAAAACTTAAACTGTTGGAGAGAGTGTAACGTAAGTATTTATACTTCAATATGATAAACCAAGTGCTAGCAGATTCCCTCCCACTTCAGTTTTGAATTGACATTATCTCCATAGATTGACTGATCCTTTTATCACTTAACTTGTATTTAAATATAGTAATTTATTTCCTTTGAAACTCATGTAAAGCAGGAGTGTTATTGTAATTCTTCACTTTAAATAACAATACAAACTCTAAGAGAACTGAGCAAGTTTTCCAACAACACATTGCTACTTTGTTTAATATTTCTTTATGGTATTAGAGCTATAGTCATATGACAAAAAAAAAATATTTCAAGTCACCCATGGTTTCAAAACACGTCCAGCTCGTCTCCCTCTACCAATATTTCTCACTTAGTGTCCATTGAACTTCATCGAACAAACTATTTGATATGGCTTGCTCAATTCATTCCTCTCCTTAGCATGAACCTTTTTAACTATGTTAAAGGAACCAAGTCTTGCCCTACTATATTTTTAGAAGGCATCTACAGCAAACTAAACACTACTATTAACCCTGAGTATGTTCGTTAGCAACAACAAGATCAATCTTTGCTTAGTTGGATTAATGCCACTCTTACACCCACAGTGTTGTCTGACATGGCTCTATTTTTCCCTCTCATGATGTTTGTAAATCACTCGAGAAATGATATGCTCGTCAATCATGCACTTGAATCATGCAATTAAAAAATCAACTCCAAACTACCAAATGAGGCAACTTATCAATATCAGATTATATTGACAAGATGATCAACATAGCAGATAATTTGAAGATTGATAGTAAGCCAATTGACAAGGATGACATGGTTTCTCTTATCCTAAATGGCGTCGGGCCAGCATACGAAGCCACCGTTAACTATATGTTAGTGTGTGATACTACTATCATGTTAGATGACCTTACTAGTCTTCTTCTAAGTGCTAAAATGCTGCATGAAGTTCACAATGTCAATTTTCTTGATTCCAACCATTCAACTATGTTTGCACCAAAGTCCAAGAACTCAAAATGATTTAGGAACTTTTCTTCTCATAATGCAAAATTTAATGAGAAAACTTCATCAACGACTGCTAGTGGGCATTCACAATCTGCTAGCAATGTTTCTTCGGATGGGCATCATCAAAAAATTTCTTCTTGTAATCTATCCTGCAAAATTTGTGGTTGAAACGGTCATATCGTCATTGACTATTATCAACAAATGAACCATGCTTATGAAGGTCGGATTCCAACCAAATGCCTTCAGGACCGTCGGATGAGCAAACTTGGATCACTCATATGACTTTGAATCTTGTGAATCTATCGATTCATAATTCTTATGATGGGTCCGATCGTGTTGCAGTTGGCCATGGTGCAAGTTTGACTATTTCCAATATCGGTTCAACCACCCTTCACCATAATTCCTCTATTTTTAAATTGCAAAACATTTTAAATTGTCCTACTATTTCTGTCAATCTTTTATCCGTTCATCAATTTCATAGTGATAACAACTACAATTTTGTTTTCACTACTGATGATTTTTCTATAAATGACATATAGATGGGGAAGATTTTTTTTCCATGGCAAGAACGAAAATGGGTTCTATCCAATGCGACTTCATCACCAAATTCATGTCAATGCCTACTACCATTTACTCTTATTGGTGAATGAGTCTCTTCTTCAATTTGGCATTAACAGTTGGGACATCCGACCCTTCCTATTTTATAGCAGCTTGCTTCATTTCAAAAATTTCCTCTCCTTAGTTCAGTTAGAGATGATGTATTTTGTGTTTCTTATCATTTAGGAAAAAGTTGTTATTTGTCATTTCAATTATCAATTCTATTACTTCCTATCCATTAGAACTTGTGCATTTTGATGTTTGAACTTCTTCTACATATTCAATAAATGGATCAAAATATCATCTTCTCTTTGTTGATGAACTTTCTAAATATTCATGGATTTTTCCAATTCGTTTTAAACATGAAACCTTCATATATCTTCTTGAATTTAAGACTTATGTTAAATACTTGTTCTATTGCAAAATTAAATCATTTCAATCGGATTGAGGGGGTGAATATAATAAGGCTAAATTTAAAAAATACCTAACTGACAAAGGTATTGCTCGGCATGTCTCATGTCTACACACACCTGATCAAAATGGAGTGTCTGAATGGAAACATTGTCACATCGTGGATATCAGTCTCACCCTTATGGCTCGAGCTGGAATTCCTTTTGATTTTTGGGTGGAAGCTTTTAAAGGTTTATGTCTATCTAATTAACTAGCTTCCTGCAAAAGGATTAAAATTTGTATCTCCTTATGAGAAATCATTTAATCGGCCTCCAAATTACTCATTTTTTTTTTATTTTGGGTGTGCTTGTTACTCATACCTTCGCCCATACAACAAAAACAAGTTAGAACTTTATTTTAAACTGTGTATTTTTGGGCTATTCTCTTAATCATTAGGGGTATCGTTGTTTCAATAATCACTCGGGGTGTGTTTATCTTTTTTGACATGTTGTCTTTAATGAAGGCTCATTTTCATTCATACAGTGCACTAGTGCCTTTCACTCAAACCATGGACTTGCAATCATCAAGTACTGTTCTTCCTTCTTCCCCTCTTTTGCCTACTTTACCTTCTACTACACCATCGTAGGTCCCCTCTTCTTCAGCACCAGTACATCTGTTTGCAATTTCCCAAATACTACCACATTGGATTGCAACGAAACATCTGCTTCCCAACCTTGTTCCTCTATCCAGTCCAACTGACCATGTTTTGTCCATATTTTCAGCAACTTTTGATCATCCAAAACCCGTTCCCTTAGCTTCGGTTCCACCTTCAACAGTTCCTTTTCATCATTAGCCTTATAGTCGAACTCACCCAATGTTAACTCGTAATCAACATGGTACCTAGAATTAATCCGAAGCATGCTCTTGTTGTTAAAAACTCGTAAGGCAATGTATTCTGAAATCACTGGTCTTCGACAAAATGGAATGTGGTATCTTGTTCCTCCATCTTCAAATATGAGCATCATGTCCAACAAATGGGTCTACAAAATCAAACAGGTAAGTCTAATGGTTCAGTTTCACATTTTAAAGCTCGCCTTATCGCCAATGATTTCATTAGGAACAAGGCTTGGATTATACTAAAACATTTAGCCCAGTGATTAAACACAACCATTCAGACGGTACTTGCTATTGTTGTTTCTCGCAATTGGCCCATCCGATAACTTGATGTCCAAAATGCATTTCTATATGGTGTCCTTTGTGAAGAAGGTTTTATGCTCTAACCAAAGGGTTTTGAGGATTCTGCCTTTTCAAATCATGTTTATCGTTTACAAAAATCCCTCTATGGGTTAAAGCAATCCCTCGGGCATGGTTTCAATGATTTTTGGATTATATTGAAGATCTTGGTTTTATAGAATCCAAGGACGTATCATCGGGACAACATTATTATGTTCATTCTTATTTATGTTAATTATACCCTTCTTACCAGCAATATTGTGGTTCATCTCCAACAGCTTATTGTTGATTTAAATAACCTATTTGCCATGAAATACTAGGGACCATTGCATTTCTTTATTGGCTTAGATGTCATTACTTCCAATGTTAATTTATTCATGACCCAATCTTGGTATGCACTGGACCTTCTCCCTCACATGAAAATGGTTAAAGTTAAGTCATATTCTTCACAGTGTGTTACTAGGAGTAAACTGAGTCTGGATGATGGTCATCCTCTTGATGATCCATTGGACAATCGTAGTGTTATGGGAGCATTACAATATCTCATGCCTTCACGACCTGACATTGCCTTTTTTGTTAATCAGGTTTGTCAATTTATGCGTAGACCAACGTGGATACATTAGATCGCGGCTAAACATATTTAACGTTATGTCGAGGGGACTATTGATCATGGTATTGTCTTTCAACCTGGACTTTTGCAGCTTGAAGCCTTTTCAAAAGCCAACTATGTAGATGCCCTTCCAACAAATGGTCTTTAGGTGGGTTTTGCATTTCCTTTACTTAAGTCTGATATCATGGAATGCCAAGAAGCAAAACACAATTTTTCTGTCTCGTACAGAATTTGAATACTATCAATTGGCTCACACAGCAGGTGCACTTTCCTGGTTGTGCTTCTTGTTTAAAGATCTAAGGATGTTTCTTCCAACGACCCCTCTTATTTGGTGTGACAACATCAGCTCAATTGCATTGGCGTCAAATCTCGTTTTCCATGCTCATACAAAGCATATTGAGGTTGATTTTCATTATCTTCATGAAAAATCTATTAACAAAGAACTCGATGTTCGATATATTCACATCATTGATCAAGTAGCAAACATATTCACTAAGGGCCTTTCTTCCGCTCATTTTTTGTTTTTTAGGGACAACCTTGTGGTTCTTTTCAGGCCCATAAGCTTGCGGGGATGTGATAAACTAGTATATTCCCTCCCACTTCAATTTTAATTGATGTTATCTCCATAGATTGGTTGATCCTTTTATCACTTAACTTGTATTTCAATATAGTAGTTTAATTCCTTTGAAACTCCTGTAAAGAATGAATTATGTTGTAATTCTTCACTTTAAATAGCAACACAAATTTAAATAGAGTTGAGCAAGTTTCCAAGCAACACACTTCTGCTCTGTTTGATATTTCTTTAAATTTGTGGTTCAATTTTTTGATGAAGATAGAGAGTATTTTGTGTTGGTTAAGGGTATCGAGCAAACAGTCAATTGTAGCTATCAAAAGTTTGAAATGGGTGGCGTATTATGTGGTCATGCACTTAAAGTTCTAGACACAATGAATATTAAGCAAATCATACTCAAGAGATGGGGACAAGATGCAAGAAACACTTGTACCCAGGAGTCTAGTAACAGGCTAAATGAGGAGGATCTCAAGTTAACGAAAGCATCACATTACAGACAATTATGTCCTAGAATGGTACAATTGCAGCTTGTTGCTTTGATCTTCAACATACACACGCTGGTGTCTTGAGGTATTGATGAGTTGTTCAAACAAGTGGAGATTATGTATGCATCACTTGGTGCTAGTGACAACAAAGGCAATGCCTCATCCATGAAGAAGGAACAGAGAATGTAAACTTGAACATTCTACAAGCGAAAGGTTTAAAAGGAAAGATGATGGTTGCAAGGGTTAGGGTCGACTAAAAACTTGACATGGAAAGCAAGCAAAGAAGAAAAAAGGGGGCTTCACAACCTATGTCTAAGGTATAATATAAACAACATTGTATTTATTACTTTATACTAAATGTCTTTGAAGGTAAATGGTCTAATTACTCATTTATGTCAACTTATCATCATTCAATTTACATTGTCTTCTCAAGCATCAAATAGTTTACAAAATATCAATTTTCTTTAGTTGATCCCTTCTTATTTATGAAGGATATGTCATTTGATGCAACACAAATTCATTCTTTCAATGATGTTGAGTCATTGTTCATGACTAAAAACATGTATGACTCTTTCAATGATGATTTGAGAGGTGTGGAAGGGCAATGATGACTTAAGAGGCGGACAATGAAGAAAAGTAGTTGGTGGAAGGGCAATTACTTGAAAAAAAGCCTGGGCATTGATTTTGTTCTTGTAGTCTTTATGTTGTTTAATTTTCTAGTTGTGATATTGGACAAGTACAATATTTATGTCAAAGATGTTGTTTGTGTATAATGTTGTTGGTTGTGTTTTGTTCTTGTGACAAAGAAACGGGCAAATGAGTTTCTCCAAGTGTCATACACAAAGCAAACACCAAATTTCATGAGTTTCTCAAAGTCTCACACACAATGGAAAACCACCCAAAAACATGATTATCTTCAAGTTTCATACACAAGCAAAACACCAAATTCCCTGAGTTTCTCCAAGTTTCACGCACAAAGGCAAACATCAAATTCCTTGAGTTTTTCCAAGTCTCATACAAAATAGAAAACAAAAACTCTTTTCATAAGGAAAATAAGTTCTTATATGATCAACTAGTTACATAGGTAGAGTATTTATAAACTAAGTTATATCATTTTCTCATTACAATAACAAACATCATAAGTTGCAAATTAAAGTATGATAGTAGCATGTCTCCGTACAGTAGCAACATTGTTGCTCCTGCATTTGCCTAAAGACATTGAAGTGTAGTATAAATTTTTTCAATCTTCAATGCAATTGCATTTTCTTTGATTCTTCATATCTCTTTATTTTCATTTGTAATTTTAGTACAAGAGGGAAGAGTAGGATTCAACCACGTAGAAAACTTGCATCAACTATCTAGACAATTGTAGTACAACCTTCTTGATGTTGTCTACAGATATTCAATTGCACTTTTCTATTTTTATCCCACTGTTTGGGATATTTTCATAATATTGTGTATTTGCTTGGGTTTTTTTGGTAAGTTAGGACTATTAGGATAGTTTATTCATATTGTGATGAAAACTTATCAACAACTTTGATCTTTTTTTTTTGAACAAAATTTAGAGACGAATTCTCTTTTAATTCTCAATTGTCTTATTATTCTTAGAAATAAACAAGGCCCTTGAAGGCTGTTATCTGGCAATATTGCAATAATTAATAAGTTATAGTTTCTGTTGTTTGATATCATTTTTCTATTCACGCTTCCGTGCATGAGAGAGAGAGAGAGAGAGAGAATTCATTACAACTTGGGCCTAGCAGTTGCATTATCACTTTCTGTGACCACATTAGGCAAGCTCAGCGGGGTCTACAAAAAAAAAAATTTAAAAACTTGTCCCCACTGTAAAGCGTGTGAAAACATTTAGGGGTAATTTTATATTTCAAAAAATAAGTGAAATTCTTTTGTAAATTGAAAAATTAGACTTAAAGTTTTATCGTAGAATTCAATCTCATGACGATCTCTGCAATCTTTCTTCAGTTTCCAGTGTCCTTTCTTCCCTATGGACACACCAAGTAACTGACCTAGTCCTCCTTGGCCCCCCCTCCCCTCTTTTTCGTCAATCAACCACAACAACCCCAAGACTTATGATTTGGTTAAAGGCTTGAAGATCGTTAGTCATCACTCATTATCTATTCCCGAGTCATTATGAATTTTCATTACTATCGTGTGATAGCTCTCTTCAACTTGGTTTGTCTCTGTCAATCATCGCAAAAATAATGTCAGCATGATTTTAATTAATTAATTAATTAATGAGTTTCGTGTTAACCGAACCGTTTAATAAAGAGCAGATGCTCTACACTTTCCACTTCCTTCAAGCATGACAACCAGAAGAGAAGAGGAGGACACTTATGTTCAAGAAGGTTTTGCAGGAGCCTTACTAGAAAGGCTATAAGTGTAGTGAAAACTGACCTTGCAAGGATGATTTTGTATGATATACATTCATTGGGTCCAGACAACTGATTTGCAGTTGGAACAGAATCCTAAAGGTGGTGTAATAGTCTTGTTAATATGATGGATAGTGCTATAGGATCGAAAATTTCTCATCGATATTATGCCCAAAAAACACAGAAATTTTTAGCCATTTATGTTTCGTTGGTTTAATTGTAATTGTTAATCACAAATATAATAAAAATTAAGTAAAATAAGAAAATAAACGATCTTGGTAAATTTTTATTAGACAACAAATAATACAATAACGAAAAGTTATTTTCAATACCTTAGTCAGATCCTTATATAACATGTTCTATGACCATAGTTTTTTTTTTTTTTTAGTAGACGATATTCAGGCTTACAACGACTACTTTCTCGAACTCAACAACTAACCACTTTGACTTTATTTGAATTAGAACATATCGTTAAAAAAACAAAGATGACTAGTTCTTAAAATGTGTGAAAAAAGATTAAACCTAATTCTTTTAAGTTATCAAAGACTAGACTCAACCACTGAACTATCCTAAAAAATTCTATACCCTAATTACTACACAAAGGTTGTATGCCCTCTAGTTTGACTGGTTTTGGCAGCAATTATAGACCTCTTCAGTTTCAAATCAAATGAAAGTAGGTCACCTCATTGATGACCATTGATAGCTCAACCAAATGGGTAAAGCTTGTATAAATTGAAACAAAGCCCAAACTTTACAACCATGGTCAATCAAATTTGCTCATTTACACTAAGATGACAAACTGAACTACTCAAAAAAGGGAGGCCAATGAGCTATTTGAAACCTCAGATCTAAGTTCAGCAAGATGAAACTAACAGATTTATATAGATGAAAGATCCTCATATATGGTTTTGATGCCTGGCCTCTCAGATACAGAGCGTATACATCGTAGAGCAATACCAAGGACCTCCTTCATTCCCTTTTCTGTGGCTGGAATCCCGACCTCAGGCATCAATGCAGCATCACAACAATCCGACCCATGGCCTTCTGCCACCCTCAGCCTCACCCAATCTGTCAAATCAACCCCTCCATCTTCACCAGAAACGACATCACCAGCGCACTTTCCTGTTAGGAGTTCCAACAGAATGACTCCGAAGGCATAAACATCTGACTTGAAGGAGGGCAGTGGTTTCTTGGAAGCAGCCAACTCTGGAGCACGATAACCCAGCACACCAGCATCAAGAATCTGCTCAATGGTGCCCGATTGCGTCATGAGGCGGTGGAGGCAGTAGTCAGCAATACGCGCATTAAGATCAGGCCCATCTAACAGTATATTGGTTGCTTTGAGGTTACCGTGAGGAACGGCACGGTCAAAATGGAGATAATTCAGGCCACGTGCAACATCAACTGCTATTTTGAGCCTCTGGGCCCAGGTTAGTGGTGGACCTTTTCTTCCAGGACGATCTGCAAATTCAGGTTCATCAGAAATAGGACAAAACTCACCCAAGTAAGGTATCATACGAGACAACACATGAAAGTCTACCGCAGGCCATGATAGCAGACAATAAAGAAGAGTTTGAAGTTAAAAAGGCACTGTTGTAAAGAGTTACCCACATACCTACATCTATTGGATTAGACAAAATAGCTGGCAGTAAAGCTCAAAATGTTAAACATCCACCTAATAAACCCAATAACCCTGGGCAGGGCCAATGACAGGCACCAGATTAATTAACGATGCGGAGCCAAATCACACTTTCATTGAACAGGTTTACTTGGAATGTACTTTACACAAATACTAACTAGTTAATGACAACAAAAGAAGTGTAAGGTTCAGTTAGTTATCGCATCTTCATGCAGATTCTACAGATGATGCAACTATTGAGGAAATAATGTAGCAAAAATTTGAGTTAAATGACCATTGCAAAAATTTCAGTGCTCATTTGTATTGCTCAATTAAAAGCACCTGAACAGATCAAAGTGAACAGCTAAATAACCCACAAAATGGTGATAGTTGGAACTGCAAAAGACATGAAGAAAGAGACTATAATTTGACATCAAGCTATCTGGTATGAACTAATGCAGGTCTGATTTAGTCTGTGTTTTTTTGACAATAAACGCAATGGTCTAATTTATGCACATGAGATCTTCCCCAAATTTAACTGCAATGCATGTCAAAAATCATCAAAAATATATGAGGTTCATAGAGACCAGGGCAAGCATTTCACCCCACACTCTGCGGCTTTGCTCATGTGATTACTTCATCATTTGCAGATGCTTGACATGCATTACATATGCCAAGCCCCTGCAACAGTTTGACACATCAGACCAAGGTTTTTTGTTTACACATTTCACACACAAATAAAACATATATGTGACATTGTGAAGGCAGTAATAGATAAAGGAGATTCTTTCTTGGTTCACATGCCTAAAGTTCAGTCGCAAAAGGCAAATTGGTAGGCTGAAAGACCAAGAATAGAAGTTACCATAGAGGAAACTTGCAAGACTTCCAGGAGATATGTAATCTGAGAGAATGAGCTTCTCATGCTGGGTGGGCCCCCAATAGTACCCTCTCAACCCTACAACATTTGGGTGTCTGATGTTTGCAAATTTTTTAGCCTCCTTAGCAAAATCCTTTCTTTGTTTTGCCACCCCTTCTCTCAACCACTTCACAGTCAAGAACACACCATTATCCAGTGTCGCCCTGTAAGAAGTCCCATGGCTGCTCCTCCCTAGGACTTCAGCTGGGGCCCTTGATAGTTCCTCAGGTGTAAATGAAATAGTGTCATCAAGAAAGTACAACTCACCAGCCAATCGATCTGGTGACCTGACATCCAGCCTGGCGAGGTTTTCTGCAGTATATGAATCTCCAGACTCTGGTGACCAAGAGAAATGGCTATTCTTGGATGGAGAGAATCCGGTTATTGCTGCTATCTTCTCATCAGGACTAATTATCTCAGATGATGATCCTTTCCTTGAAGCCATAAGATCCTGAGCTGAAACTACCAAACCACCAGCACTGTCTCTACCAGCAAAGCCAGAAGGATTCGATGGGGCTTGCCGCCGAAAATCTTTACTTGTAACATGTTGTGGAAGAGGTCTCCTTGATATGCGTATGTAATGAATGAAGACCGCAAGAAGTATCAGAATAACCACAGTGACCACACAAATAATTATCACTATTACTTTCACAATAGTTTTGATTGGTTTCCTATTTGGATTCCTGGCTGGAACATTGCTTGATCCAGGAGGGGCATTTGGAAATTGTAATTCAGAATTTCCAGGGTAGAAAGAAGATAGTGGAAACTTTCTCAAATTCTCTGGGACAACACCAGAGAGATCATTGTATGATGCATTAAAGCTTTGAAGACTGTTGGGTAAGTTCTTTGGCAGTGGACCAGTGAAATGATTCTGGGAGATATCTAATGAACTTAAGGAGTTGATGTCACCCATTGAAGTAGGGAGAGAGCCTGAAAAATTATTCCCCGCAAGACTGAGCACTTGAAGTGCAGTCAATGACCTGAATCCATCAGGAAAATACCCATTAAACCGATTATGACAAAGATCAAGAACACGAAGCTCAGGTTCACTGGAGGAAGGAGGAGAGAACTCAACACTTCCAACAAGCATATTGTTCTCAAGGTGAAGTTCTTGCAATGTGGACAATGTTAGTAGAGTAGTTAGAAGAGGACCACCCAATTGGTTGAAACTGAGATCAAGAACTGTGAGTTTAGGAAACTGAGCAATAACCTTCGGGAGAAAACCACTAAACGAATTATGAGAGAGGTTGAGGTGATTTAAACGCAAAAACTGTGCAGTGACCTCAGGAATGGGCCCAGTAAAACGGTTTTGGCTGAGATCAAGAAACTCAATGTTTCCCCATTTCAGCAATCTGGTTAAATTTCCTTCGAATTGGTTTTTTGACAGGTCAAGGACTGAACAGCTTCCAGTCAACAGTGGAAGTTCACCAGAGAGTCCATTTGAGGAAACATTAATGCTGCGCAAAGTTGTTGATGTGATAATACTTATTGGCCCTGTAAAATAAAGTAGAACGTGAGAGGCATGAAGTAAAACTATGCAGTTGTTACAGCAGCCATTGGGTCCAGTCTAGTTTGTATCAGTGGAGACTATGCAAGTACATTTGCCCTAAATGAATACATAAGATGATGGTCCCATGCTCATTAGCAAATAAGACAATACGAGATTAGAAAATCGCGTTGAATAACTTTGTTCATCTAGAGAATATTTTTTAGTTACAGAATTACCTGTGAGGTTGAATAACTTTGTTCATCTAGAGAATATTTTTGAGTTACAGAAGTACCTGTGAGGTTGTTGCTGCTTAAATCCAATTCAGTTAGAACCAAAGCATCGCCCCTCAGTAGATCATTAGGAATAAACCCAGAAAACCTGTTGTTGCTGAGTTTGAGGACCAGAAGCTCATACACAAAATTGAATGCAGGTAATTCTCCAGAAAGCTGATTGTAGCTCAAATCCAACACCTTCAAATTCTCAAACACCTGTGGCTCAACCCCACTTAGAAGCGATCCTGCAAGCAGATTGCCACTAAGATTTAAGTAATTAATAGTTTCTGAAATACCAAACAGAGATTTTTGCTGCTGTGAAGGAGAACATGTTAACAAATTCCCACTGAAATCAACATGAGTTGCAGTTGTAAGCAGCAAGAACTCAGCATCTAGATTACCATCAAACTTATTGCCATGCAAGTCAAGCACCTCAAGATTTGCCATCAGCTCAAACCCTTTTGGTATTCCCTTTGTAAATCCATTAAGGGAGAGATTAAGCAATACCATATTTGTCAATTTCGTCAATGCTGGTGACAGTGGCCCAGAAAAGGAGTTTCGACTCAAATCCAAAGATTGAATTGAGGCAAGCCCTGAAACGGTGTCAGGAATTGAGCCCGAGAAGTTGTTCCCAGCTAATGAAAGGTTCTGTAATCTCCCCAAATTCCCAATTTGTGGAGGTAAGGACGAGAAGAACAGATTGTCAGAAATATCAAGATATTCAAGGCTTTTGAAGTCACCTATATTGTAGGGAACTTTCCCAGTTATAGAATTGTTTGACATAGAGAGCTTCACAAGCTTGGTGAGGTTCAAAAATACACCCAAATCCACATCGGCGGATAATCCAAGGTTATCCAGAACAACGCCAGCAACATTACCACCATTGCACATTATCCCATTCCATGAAGAAGGACACCCATTGAAGTCTATAGACTCCTCATTCCATGAATCAAGCACATAACCGGTCGGGTCATGCTTAATTCCTTTCTTGAACTCAAGCAGTGCCAAAATGTCCTGCGATGGAAGCTGCCCCATGGAACAGACAAAAAATAGGGATACCACAAGAAGCCTAAAGAGCTTCATACTAACACCCAGAAAATTGGCTGTCCCCAAGTAAAATATAAGCCTACTTTCAAGAATCAAATGGTTTTTCCAGCTCACAATATCACTATTCAAAAGAAACCAACTCGGTTTTTACACCATTCAAGAGCAAAACACAAACCCACAAGAAAAATGGCTTCAACAAACACATAAAACAGATGGGTTCTATGAGCTACTGAATCCAGATGTCAAAGAAACCCAAATGTGTTACACACCTAAGAATAACAAAACATACTGCTCAACATCTGTTATCTAAAGCCCCAAGAATCACATACTCAACTGAAACATCCGTTGTGTTCAATGAAAACCAGAAATGCAGAAGAATGCTCCAACAAATAACACTTTTAGTTATACAAACTAAGCTACAGCAATAAATGACTGAAACAAACCACACAAATTCAGTCACTTTCAGAGATCTAACCAAGAAAAGATTAGTATTTTCTTACCAGACCGCTACTGTGTAACTCAGTGAAATCGGTCACTTTCAGAGATTCAAACTTTAGAGCAAACCAAATTTGTCTTTAGCAAATATTGAACCTTTGAACAGTCTGAAACTTCAGATTTGCATATAAGCATAAACTTCCATCTGGAGTACATTCTGCAACCAGAGCTCAGGCTCTGAGCCTAAGACCATTGAGGTGCACGAAATAAAGCAAGTGGGTCTTTAAATGCATTAAATCCAATGATCCCAGAAAAAATTTGACTTCTACAAACCCCACTATCAACACAAATTAGCTTCCAAAACCAACAACTTCAAACAAACACAGTAAAAGGACCTTTATCTTTACTTAAAAAGGCACTGAAAGAAAACCCATAAAGGTGATGCCTCTCTCTTTTCTATTATGCTTCATCTACTTCCTCTCTCTTAAACTATCACTTTCTCTAATGTTTTTTTTTTTGTTTGATTGCTTGGATGTACCCTTATAAAACCCTAATTTTTGTTCATTCTTTTGAGGAATTTTTATTTAATTTAATTAAAATCTGCCGCAAAAATAGAGAAAAATAGCGGGAAATTAATGAGTGTTTTTGCATGATTTGTCAGTTAATGCGACCATTACCCGCCAAAAAAGTAGAGAATCTTCTCATAGTGGACGTCAAAGGATTTATTAAATCTAGTTGAGATTATGGGAGTCCTTTTTTTGGGAAGTGATGCTACTGAAGGGCGTGGGGGAGTGTGGCCAGTGACATGTAGGGCTGGGCCCCATCTCTGCCCCTTGACTAGGGTTTTGTATTTGTGTTGTGTACCATTAGGAATCAATTTTTCTTCTACTTTTTTTGCAATTATTTTACCAAATTACTGTAATTTTAAACTTACTTATTAAATTATTACAATTATTTTACCAAATTACTGTAATTTTAAACTTATTTATTAAATTATTACAATTATTTTACCGAATTACTGTAATTTTAAACTTATTTATTAAATTATTGTAATTATTTTACCAAATTATTGTAATTTTAAATTTATTTATTAAATTATCATCCTTTTTCAAAAATTGTGTTCTAATACACTTTTAAATATAAAAATAATTCTAAAAACACACTTTCAAAATTTTTATATCAAAAGAATACTCTGTTACACTAAAAGTGTGTTTCAAAAATACGCTTTCACATTAAAAATGTGATTTAAAAATAAAATTTCATAAAAAGAGTCGTTGATAGTTAAATAAATTTGAAATTATTATATTATACTAAAGAAATTAAAAAATATAATATATTGATAAAACTAGTAGTGTTAGACAATAATTTTATTATTACATTATTTCATTTTATTTTATTATTTTTTAGGTACGAATAATTTAAATTAAAAAAAAATTATTGTAATATTAAAAAATTATATTCAATACCATAATAATATCCACATAGTGTAACTATCTTGTTGTATGTAGAGTTGGAGGTGAGGTTGGTGAGGGCATAATGATAGGGACTTGGTGTGATGAGAATGTAGGATATCTCCTTTGAGAGCACCAGTAATAATTTGACACGTATACAAAAGTGGTCCTCATAACCACATGCAGCTTCTTGATTATTATGGGGATATGGCTTGGCTTGTCATATGAACGATGGTCCATGGGCTGGCCCGTTAACCTGACGATCAACCGTATCGCGGGTTGGTCTTTCCTGCCTCTGTGATTAGGGCGTTAGTCGAACAAGCTTAAGTCGAGTTTGAATTGAAGTTGAAAAGTTTATTTTTTAATGAAACTTTAAAAATTATTTAAATTCGGCTCATTTAAAAAACGAGCTGAGCCTGAATGAGTCAAAAACAAGTCAAACCCGAGCAGAACTCGAGTATTTACATATAAAGGAGCCGAGCTTGTCAAATTTGAGTTAAGCTTGTACGACTTATTTTTTAAACGAGCCTAAAAACTTGTTCAAATTCAATTTCATTTAAAAAACGAATCGAGTCTGAATGAGCCAAGCTCAAATAGCTCAGTTTGATTAATAGCTCTATCTTTGATGATTCGTAGACACACTAATAATCCAAGGAATAAGGGGCTGTTTGGATGATTTTTTGGGATGTATTTGGATTAATTTGTCCAAACTCTTTCAAATTTAAATCTCTCTTTACAAAAATAAAATTCAACATTAAATTCAGTTTATAGGCGTGCAATCTAGGTCTAGTGGCTCAAAAAAATAAGAAAAAAAATTAAAATTAAAATGAAAACAGGCCCATTAGGACCGGTTGATGAGTTATAAACACAACCCATTATAATTGGTCTTATGAACAGACTGTGGGCCCAATTTTTATGGACCACCATCTTGGCTAGAGAACTTGACAAAAATTCGGCTTTCATTCCCGCCTTGGGCCCATTGACTGATGAGCGCAATAACAATGGGCTCAGTATGAATCCACTAGTCAGGTGTAATAAATCTTTGTAAACAATTAAACTTGATCGAAATTAATAAAATTCTAACGATAGGATTTAGATCCATGCCTTAATAATGGGTTGTTGGTCAGTTGGCTTATGACTTCTTTTCTCATACTTGGGTAATTGTTTTTTGGGAGGAATCATGCATTATGACAGGAATAAGGTCTAACAACAAAGACGATAATCATTAAGTCAACCGTCAACCTGAATAGATAATTTTGGACAATGATTTTTATATCCTGTGTCCCGGAAAAAGCTCACTAAGTGAATCTTTTGTGGAGTGTAGTAGTTCTGGGTGATGCAACTGTGACTGCTAATTTTAGGTCACCTTCTCATCGTAAACATTGACAATAATAACTTTTTTTTTCCTCTTTTGCTAGTCATAAAGTTCCATGATTTGGGAACAAAACTTAATGTGTTAGTTGGTTCCATCCGAGGAGGTCTAGTCTTAATCATCAGCAAACAATAAGATTTGGTATAAACAGTAGTTTGTCAAGCTTTTTTATTTTTTAGCTCAACAGTTAAGAGTATTAGGATTAAAAAAAAAGGGGGATTCGGATTACGTTATGCGCACTTGAATTAATTTTCTATTCAATTCAATCAAAGGCGGGTCATCTAAACTGGAACTAAAATATCTATGAAAAATAAATCTATCATAGCATGTCCCCAAGAAGATGTCAAAATTCAAACTCATGACGTTTGAATTTATAATTTACCTCTGTTATCATTTGAACTACGCCTGAAGTTGTAGTTTGTCAATTGAAAGAAATATAGACACTCTTATAAGTACTGCCATGCTGCCCCTAGCTTCAATTTCTCAAATGAGTGTGTTTTCATAACATGGAATAACCACAATAATTCATCTATGCAAGCAATAAGTTTCGGGTTCAGTCCTAAAGTCATCCTTTTAAAATTGAGAATAAAATTATCGAACATTTTATCTTTTCAAAACCCACTACACGCGAGAACCTTGTCAGCAAGATTTTTTTTAAAAGTATTTTCATATCATAAAAGACCTAATTATTGGATGGCAACATCAATAACTTGAAAAATTCCACCGGCTTTAGCTTTTAATTAGTCCTTGAAACGTGGAAATTTCAGTCCTTCATGTTATTGGCACTATCCAAATATGTATTCTTTTCGTTAGAAAAGGAGAGAATTTCATAACATTATACTCATAGAATTGATCGATCGTCGTGCTACTGAAATTACTAGATTAACGACAGCTCAATATTTGTGTCCTATGCCAAGAAATTATGAGGGTATGTCTGATATGTTGGTCCCTTGGCTATCTCGTTGTTCTTTTATATGCTTTTTAACCCTTGAGTTAAACTCATGTATCCATCGCTAATAACAATCTTTATGTATTAAATTCGAAGTTGGCCATTCACATCAACCCCTACCCCCAATCTTTGCCTATGGTGGGTGATCCATTGATTGCAAAGGTGATTTATCTCGTCTGATATAAAAATTTGATTATTTTAAAGTAAGCCTAACCAACATTTACATTAAAAAAAACAGCAAAAACCATCCTTATCATGACCAAATTGAAATGTATATCTTCCATGAACTTGTCATGCAATCAATTTATATAGAAAGTATTGCCTCGTAGTGCGTGACTTTGATCTCTTACTATGATTTCAAGTCCACCTTTCCCACTATTTTTTGCTCAGTGGAGGATGTAATGCTGCTTCTAATAATTATGTCCAATATGATGTCTTGACCCTCACTTGGTTTTTAATTACCCAATTCTGCCCTCACATGTCTCGACTGTCATGGCATTGTAACAACTTGTTGGGTATTGAATGTGTGAAAATGTTATATCCGAAAAATTAGTTGAATTGTTCTAATATACAATAGATAGGCCCTCTACTTACAAGTTTAAGTTTTTAAATGGTATAAGTTCTAGACATGTACATTAAACCTTCGATTAATGGATTTCTCAGTCTTTTAATAAATAGTGTCAGAACCGATAGTTGACGATCCCGAATGAACTCTCAAAAAAGTTGACGAACTCAAATCTAGACTAGGCCTGAGCCCAGTTTATAGGTTGAACTCAAATCATCAAAAGACATGTCAGGTTTAGCTTATCATGGATTTAGTTCAGTCCAAAGTTTAAGAGTCCAGGAAGAGTCAATGTACATAGGAGAGCAATTATCGAGATAGTCATGACTCCAAGAAAGTGTCTATCTCCAATTGTAGCTATCCTCCGAATAAATTAGTAGCTTGATATTCACGTTATTTGTAGGGCTCAATGCCTACAAATTGTAAACTCTACACATGGGAGTAGAGAACACACACACCTTATTTTGAGCTTACTCTTGTTTTCTCTCTCTCTCCTACTACCTTATACTTTCTCATTAATAAAGTTTTTGGTTATTGTTGCCGCCTTCTTAGATTAAGTTAACCAGATCCAACCACCTAATATTTGTCTCTTATAATTGATTGATTCATTAATTATTCTACACCACATATTCAACTAATTTGATTATATAGAGTCAACTTTGTACATCATCAAAAATGGTACAGCGTATTGGTACCAATGATAGCTCTTAAAAAAAGTGAAGACTCTTGGTATTGAAGTCATGTAAACGTAATTCGAAAATGAGAGCTGGGGGCAGGCAAGGCTCTTGGCAGAATGATAATGTGGTGACTAGTAAAAAAGCAAAAAAAAAACTTGATTTTTGAAAAAGTGGACTCTTGTAAAGAATAATTGGACGCGGTGCTTGTGGAGAGTGGTGGAATTAGACGAAGTGGTGTACATAGGAAGGGAAAATTGTTAGGTATTGCATGTGTGAAAATCTCATACAGGATAGAAAAAAAAAATTAAAGTGTCTTAATATAAAATGGATGGACTCACCACCAATGGCGGAGCTAAAAATTTATACGAAAATCAGCACTAATTATAAGTTTTAATTTTTTGATTTCCTACTAATTAAAATAAATGATATATATATATATATATATATATATATAAAAAATTATTAACACTTCTTTTTTGTAAGTCGTAATAACTTTGACTTGGACTTTCTTTTAAAATATTTCTCTATGATTGTTTCAAAAATTAATAGAAAGAATGAGTAGCAAAAAATTGTAGTCCGAAGCAAATATAATTTCTACTTTAATTATATAGTTACTATATTAAAGGAGAAATTATAGTAAAAAGCAAATATAAGTACACAACAAACCAAAAAAATCAAGCGAATTAGAATACAAAAACATCAAATTACAATTTTTAATCAAAACTAATTTTCGATCAAACCGCAATTTTAAAAAATTTAAAAGTTAGTGAACCCAATTTAGTGAATTGTTTTGAGTGAACTCGACATTTTTTGGTTTGTTTTGGGTGGACACAACTTGAGACACTTAGAGAAGAAAAACAAAAGAGCAAAATACATATAGATAATGCAAAAAAAAAAATCAGGGTGGGCAGGTGGCCATCCCGGACCATCAATAGCTCTGCCCTGCTCACCACTTACATGCTTAACTTTTTAAGTGGATCACTGAGTTCTAGTCATATGCATTAGGTCTTGAATCACTGAGTTCTCCGATCTCTTAACAGAACTCGAACTTTTTGGTCACACTCAACAACTTAAACTTGTTCGACAAAAAAAAAAAATCAACTTCAATTTGGATTATATTACTCGTGCGAAATTTAAATTTAATTTTTAAGTTCACAAAGTAGACTATTAGCTCGATAAGGTAGGCTGCTTCCCCTTCCCTCCATTGAAAACAGGACTGGTCTAAACTCTTTTACTTTCCAATATGAATATAAGCTCCCCTGTCCAAGCACTAAAGCCGGCCAGCTATAACATGCCTTGTGGCCAGGAATGGCGATGAATTGTTTCGTGTTGAGGTCATGTAGTTTTAAATTTGTGTCGAGTATTAATTAATTCTAATCTAATTCATCTTATTAATTGTGTTATATCTGATACTAACATGAACTGTGCACTAATCATTGTCAAGTTTGGGTTGACATAAAAAAAAACCGTGAACTAGAAATCCCAGACTGAAATCCTTCTCTCTTTAACCAAACACAAGACACATAGGCCTCCTATAAGCCAAAATTCGCCTGATCTGTAAGGTATCAAGATTTTGCGAAAAAATAAACCCTAATGCTGCCGTAACCCATACAATTCTTGTGAAAAAATACTATAAGAGGAAAAAACTTTTTACCTTTCATTTTGGATTAGATTTTAAAAAAGTGAACAAGAGTTGCATTGTTCATCTTGCAAAATGTCAAAGATGGGAGATGAGCCGGTGCGGTCGGAAACACTCTGATACTTTAAGTCAATAAAGGGTCTTGAAAAAAAACAAAGAAGTTTGTAAGGATTGAAGTGAGTACCTTTAACTCAAGAATCATTCGGTACTTATGTATAGTGTTGAGTGGCAACATCTCTGGCATGATTTCAACTTTTGGCCATATTAGGTGGCACACCTGATTCTTGGCCAAATCCCTCTAGAAGCTAGGATCTCTCCTAAACTTTTTCCTTGTTTTCCTATTGGTTAGGGTGTGCTAAATTTTCTCATATGATTTAGGTTACGTTTTTATCAATTCAATCTTACCTATCTATCTTGTTAAAGGATATCCGTATAAAAAGTTATTTGCGCGCTCTGCTCGATCTTTTGATTTTGTTATCTTGACAACTCGACCTATTAAGCCAACCATTAATCACTTACTCGATTGGTGGCAATGGATGTTGTAATTTCCCCGGGTGCCCCCCTCATGTGATTTTTGTCACGTGACTTCATTAACTGCCTCAATCATTAGAAATCATTTTATGCCCCTCCATAAACAAATCAAAAGAAATCTACCTGTTAAACAGATGTGTAACAAAATCATCCGGGTTGACACTACCAATTCATTTATTATTCATTTAACAAATCGTATTATTTTCAAGTTCATTTCGATAAAAAAAAGCAATCTACTATTCGTGAAAAATTCCGTCTTAAAAATGCCCGCCCGTCCTTACCGCTTGCAGGGGGGTCGTGGTATTATGGATATTGTTCCACAAATCGGTACTTAGAGGGGCCAAAACACCCATGGTATAGGCTTGCGTCCCTTCACCATTGAGCCATAGTTTCAAACATTACATAGGGAAAGAAATTTGTGGGACGTTCTTATCCAAAAATTCAGTCGCAAATTACGCCACACAAACAGCTAGGGGAGCTTATTTTAATGGTCTGACTGTGTTTTGAACCACATACATTAATGAATTTTCTGGTTAAGAAAGAAAGATAATAGAAGGAAGAAAATAATTTTTAACATCCAATTCTGGATTCAATAATCTTACAGTCCATAGATTCTTTAAGAAGAAAAAATAGAACATTTTATAAGAAGCAAAATCTATTTAAGTGTATATTTTCGTGGCCTGTGGAAGAGGCAATTGATACCTCTCCCTCTCTCTCTCTCCCTCCTTGCCTTTTCCTCCTCTAGGTCATCAAGGAATAACTCTAACAAGTGTTCAGAGGTATTTTTCTTTTCATTGGTTCATAATCCTTGTGGGATTCTCGGCTTATCACTTTATGCTTAGATCAATTCATCTCTCGATCAAGTCCTAACTAGAAATATCTTAAAGAGCTAGTTACAGACCTAACATAGCCTTTGATTGACATTGTTGCTGGTCCAATAAACCAAGTTTTTTACAAGAATTAGTAATAATGTTTCACTTATACATACAGTTAGAGCTAGATGAATGATAAAACATATAGATATGACCTTTCGAGTATTACCACTGCCTACAAAGAAAAGACGTAACCACTTGATCCGTACGAGGAAAAACAACATATCATTACACTCCCAGTCTCTGACCAGTTATCAACTGGTTTTGGAAGTTCAGAACGAAGTAGAAGATATTGCAGCTCGCAAAGGGAATATATTTGTTGGGGAAAGGTTTGTGCAACTCATAACTAGATTTTTCCATACTACAAATTGCGATGGCAAAGGTCAATTATAATTGAAATCAGCAAACGGACCTCAATGCTTATGAAAAATGAATGTCTCACTTCTTCCCGCCACCGGAAACATTGAACTTGAAATATATTATGTCACCATCTTGAACCACGTACATCTTCCCCTCCTGTTTATACTTTCCAGCAGCCTGCACAAGAAAAGCAAATAAATCCTTCCATCCATTGTCAAAAATTCGGACCAATAGAAACAGAAGCAGTAGAAACTGGAGATAGGAAAAAGAACGGCAAGGGAAAATGAACCAACATGAGCAAGAGAAGGGTCAGCATGTTAATGGAATTCTTATGGTTACACTAAGTCATGCAAAGAGAAGGCCAACCGCAAATAAGCAGTTGGTGACAGACCGGCTTAGGCAACTATTCGACTGCAGGGCCATTCTAGTTGCAAAAGAGAACCATTGTGAAGGTGGGTATAACCTTCATGCAGGTGTACGTAACAGAACTGCATCCAAATCCAAGAATATTGTAACTAAGAAAATGAGAGAGGTGTTCCAAGAATGGGAAGGAGGACAAAAGCCACACATCCAGTTGAAGGGCTTGAGTTACCGCTTACGTAACACTAAGAAGCAATATACAGCATTTAAGAGTATACGTGTGCTCGACAAAAACAGCAACAATACTGAAATATTTGTAATTCCTTCTGTTGTATAGGAGATTCTTCAATTGGCGGCAGTGTGGTGACTGAGGTTGACAACAATGGTCACCGTCAACAATGTAGACAACCAAGACGATGTGCCCTCTGATTTTCTTTTCTTTTCTCTTCTATTTTCTGCTTTGTTCTCAAATTACCTAGTTTGTGGTCAAAGGGGTTGTCCAAAAAGAACCGAATATACTGCTATCATACTAAACATATAATATAATAGCAAAACCCCCACATTAATATAACAGGACAAGCAAAACATATGCATTAAAGATGCACAAATCCTAGCATGGACAATGGGCAGACTTGCATGTTATCAAACAAAGTGGTATGGGTAGCACTCATCTGCCAAATAACACACCAGAATTTTAAGTGAGCAGATCAAATTGGTGCTCAAAAGGCTAAAAACTCAATCTGTCTGCCTAAGCACAGTGCCGAAAAACAGGTGGGCTCCCAACCTAGTCAAACCCACATATTTACAGGAATTTTTGCACTGAATTCAAAAAGATGCAGACAACCAATAGGTAGCTGCCAGCTTCTTAAATTTCATACCTTCAAAGTCAACCCAGGCAAACGGCAAAGGAGACAAAAATAAATTGATCATTTGTACGAAATTAACTAGTACCTTCACAGCATTTTCACTACCAAGTTCCTTTAGATCATCAAATTTCATGACCTGAACATCATCACAAAATCCAACTCAGCACATTCTAGCAGTTCCAAAGGAAAGCGATAGTTCAAAGTACAGAAAAAAAAATGAAAAGATGATCTTCACAAGTTCCATTTCTGAAAATACAAAAGTACTGCTTCATTATGAACTTTCAAAAAAATTAAGGACAACTATAACTGCCCTAATTGCTAATTATTGCATGGTCAGGGTAAATATGCAGTGTGCTCTGCAACAATTTCAGAGAACATGATTATTCTAGTGTGCAGTGTCTTTCTTTTAGTATCAATGGCAGCTGAAGTGATTATGAACAAGGGGACGACATTTTCACAAATGAGGTGATATCTAGGACAGTAAGATCTCTTATGGAAACATCTTCAAGATGATATTATCAAGAACAAAACAATAGTATAATAGGGTTAATGAGGTCAAGTCAATAGAATATGAAGAAAAATTAGTCACAGAAAAACCAATTTTCTTTTCTTTAGGGAGATAGTGTTCAGCATTCACTTGGCAAACACATTCAGAAAAAACACATACAAACAAAAATCATATTAATATTACATTGAAATTGATGCCACTAATTCAACAAACTGCAAGTCACAATTTGAATGCTACTTCTAAAAATATTGCTGAATAGAAACATAGGAGAAGTACCAATGGAGGTTCATAGTAAAGACAAGTTTTAAAATGGAAAACATGCAAGGAATACCTCAGCACAAATGAAACCTCTTTCAAAATCAGTATGAATAGTCCCTGCAGCTTGAGGAGCTTTTGTCTGCCGTCGGATTTGCCAACACTTCACCTGCAAGAAAGCCAATTTATTGTCATATTCACCCATAGAATCATCAGAGCACATATCAGAAACCTGTGAATTGTACAATGAAGTAATCATGTAATAGAAGGACAACAAAATTCAATATAAAGTCACTGGTCACATTCAAAGAAAAAGAATCATCATCCGTACAAACATCCCAAGGTAGCAGAGTCTGAATCCAAAACTTTTGCTGCAACATCACCTTTAATAGAGACAGATATGCTCGGTAGCAAGTCCCGTAAACCAACTACACAAATTTTAGTAGTCACAATACCAACCAAAAACCAGCACTGTATCCGAAACCAAAAAATATTGTATACCGTACTTCAAGACTATCTTTCCTCTCTTCAATTGTTTTGTCCTTTTTTCCTGAGATATGTTAAGAACATTACTATGGTAGGTTCAAACTACCCACCGGTTATTAGGTAGAGGACAGTGGATACGATTGCAATAGAAGCTGGCACAGTATGTAACTGGCTCTTTCTTTAGAACATATCAAAGGTACTTATAATCAAAACTAATATTTTAATATCACGAAGTCTACCACTTGAATTTTACTACCATGTGATCCTCTAGGCCATTTTAAGCTCTTCAATTGGCTGATATAGTTGCACCTCAACCAGGGTAATGCAAGCATTAGCTGTGTACAAAAAACCTGGACTTCAGACTACAGTCTTGGAGACCACTGAACTCAGTTTCCTGCCTCAAAGTGTGCACCTTAGCCCTTACATTTTCCGAGACCAGTTGGTCCAATTGAGTGGATAAAAGATGCTAGTTGCACCAACCAAAGCCCTAAACAGATGGTAAAAACAGGTGGTAATACACTTTTGATAGGTCAACTATGTTAGAAAACTAATAGATGGCCAGGCGCAAGAATTAATTAGTAGCCCTCTTTGTTCTTTATTTTACTATTTGGGCTGGGCCAGAAGAGGGGGGGTCGGGTGGGTACTGGATTTGTACAATTTTAACAACTAGAAAATTGATGTCTGCAGTTTCAAATGGCTTCAGTTACACTTCAGAAGCAACTATGATAGTTGAAGCAGCACTAGCATGGTCATGCAATACAGTTTAACGGCCACCAAATCCAAGCAAAGCTTCAGACAAACTTGATACTCATAAGAGAAAATAAAACCCTGTGAATACTAATTATTCAGGTGCATATATATTATTACCTCATCCGGGCCTGCTGTGAAAAAGTATATGAGATTAATAGCTGAGAATCCAGTCTTTATGATCTTTGGAAGCGCACTGTAGCAAAGTACATGCAGTCAGCACTATTTATAATTTACACAACTTACTTTCATACGACATATCATTGTTCCAGAGTCTTTTGCTGTTAGAAAGAGAGAAGATACGCAAAATTTGCGTACACTTCTACGATGGGTGAACATACAATTCGCAAGGGCTAATTCGTAAGCATTAAGCAATCATAAGTGAAGGTAGTTAATGAACAGTTTGGGGCACCCTCATAATATTAAGCAAGATTTTCCCAGTAAAAACTAATCACATCCAGAGTGTAGTAATTTTCCATTCTGAGGGAATAGGCCCTGTAGTCGGTGTCAAGAAACCATGCCTGATAAGTAGCTGAGGTACTTATTATTTACCGTAACAAACTTATAAAAAGACATTACACATGTATTTCAATTCACACGCGTTACACACCATGAGATTGCTACCAGTGCATTGCATCTTAACAATAGACATAAACAACAAACAAAGAACATAAAAAAAGTGGGCCAAATGAACAGCTCATAGAACAGTCAAAAGAGTATGGGAACAAAAACCTGAGGGCTTAAAACAATGGAGAAAACTTATTTGATACAAAACTGGACTATACATTGCCGCAATGCTCATGTGAAACAACTCACCAATTCCAAATTTGTCAAGTTTGGTAATACATCTATATCTTCTCGAATAATTTACTAAAACAATTGACACCACATAGAGTATCGCACTTTTGAAGCAACATAAGTTGTACATAAGTTCTTCGATAACCATCAGGTTCACATTTGTAAGTAATATCAGAATTTTGAACCCACCTATGTACCTTGTTTTCCTCACAATACTTTGCAGCTTCATCCGGCGGTAAATCAGCAAGGTTTCTCTCTAAAGCACAACTGAAAGGGATGATTGGTTCACCACCATGCTCCTGCACCCTAGAAAATAATGTGGTGGAAACTTCCGTTTCATAAATGTCAACAGGAAGAAGAAAGAAGAAACTAAGAGAAAGAAGAAACTAAGAGGAAGAGGAGGCGGCAAAATGATAAAGAATTAAAATTTCTCTTGGAATTAAATATGAGGGAACAAGAGGTACACAGCAGCAATTACATTAATTTAATGAAGCTTGTCTCAATTAGATGCAATTGGGTAGGCATAGCACTATTTACACATCAAAAGTCAGAACTTCAATTTCAGTGCAAGGTCCTTCTTAGAAACCCATTCACGGAAAAATCAGCCAGTGTTAGGCATGTGGGATTCAAGTTTAGTCAAATTGGAAAGCTGAGAGAAGGTCTGGTCCATGTCAGGATGAGACCATAACTTTTAACACAGCACTGCATGTGGCCGTGACAGCATGTGCTTACGATGATGTCTCTTTTTAAATAGAAGGGTATGTCAAGTTCCCCACTCCAAAACTTTATCAGAGGCATCAGCTCTTAGATGTCCAACCAAACAAAATGACCCAAGTGGCAAACCAGTGTGGTGTCATACATAGTCTGAATATAACTATATTCCTATATGACTGCCACTTTTCTTTACTGGATAATGATTAGTCTTTTGTTGACAAGACAGATAAGCCTCGGAGTTTTTTTTTTTTTTGGGGGAGGTGGGGGGTGAGAGATTATATTGTACACAAGTATCTGAAACTCAATATTAAGGCAAAGACGAGACAGAACATACCATGCATGAATCTTTGGAAGAAACTTGTTCTTTTTTCTTTGATAATCTTTCTCGTTCATGTTAACCTGGGGATTAATTTGAAGCATTAAAAGCTACTAGAAACCACATCACTTACACTGCATTCCAGAAAAATTATGCACATGAACTTGTTACTTGCTTCATCCACATCAAACATTTTTTTGGTTTTTGCCTTGTGGTAGGTGGTGGGGTGTGGGGGGAGCAAAATTGTCTGTTAGAAACTAAACACATTTCAAAAGTCTATGCATGGAGTTTTTGATATTCCCATCTTCACAGGAAACCCTTTTGGTACAGGATCATCAATTTGCTTTTCAAGTGTGTTACTAAACAAACACATTCATGAACTGCGGCTTTGTTGAGTAATATTAAGTTGTGTATTCAGTGTCCTAAAAAAGGAAACATAATTAGCTGATCTGGACCGTATCACAATAAAAGTAATACACTCACTTCTAGGATCTTAATTGTATGAAATAATTTTCTTAATGGGTCCGAAGTATTGGGTCATAATCTCCTTTGTCCATGCTAGAATCCAATCAGTTTAAGCCTAGAACCAATGAATTAACCCTAACAAAATCCAGATCAAATTATTCTCCACAATACCTAGTAAGTGTGCACTCTAAATTCATAAAACTCAAGGTAATCTCATCTCTCATTGCTTATTTGTTTGCTCCCACATTCAGAAACTCATCCAGAAGCAGCTTATTTATTAGTCAAATAAATGTATTTGACAGTGTCTCTGCAATCTAAGAACAAAATAAACCTCGTTCCTAGTCTTACCCACAATTACCGGGAAGGCACAGATTGAGTTCACTAACTTGGGGAGTAGGACTTTAATGGAGTAGTACATTCACCAGGGACTTTTTATCTAACAAAAGAAAGTAACATGAAGAATATGCAAGTTACAAAAAACTTGTTTAACGTGCTGGAGCCACAGATAGCCAACACATAAACTCATAATGAGAGAAAAAAAAAGAACAGAAAAAGAAAACAGATAAGTGCTCTTTTTCACAACTGATTGATAACTCACCAAGTACACAACAGGTTTGGCAGTGAGCAATTGAAAAGTATTCAAAATCTCAATATCAGCAGCCTTCCAGTCCCCAAGACGGACATCCTTCTCCTCCTCAAGCCACACTTTAATCTGTACAGACCAAGTGACAGCATCAAGTGACATCCTCCCCTTTTTACTATGGTTTTACAGTTCTAAAATATATCAGCCCAAGAAGAAGAAGAAAAAGAAAATGAGGAAGGGGAAAGAAGAACACTTTTTACAGTTACGCACATCATGGATCCATATTAGAGTAGTATATGACATAATTCAGAAACAAATGAAACAACTGCCTTTCATAAATCACACAGGTATCTATTTTCGGTGGTTTTACAACTGCCTTTCACAGATAAGTGCAAACCAAATTCTAGGGGATCAAAGCAAATTGCTTCTTGTTTTGAATTCATAACAACGTGAAACACAAACATAGCACAGTGATTCAGGGTCTTGAGCTAATACGTACAATAATCAACAATTGGAGGGTCATTTGGAATGAATATAATTCAAATATTCATATGGACAAGCTTAAAAAATTCAATGAGAAAAGTGACAACTGCAAACAATATTAAGGGGCCTATATTTGATCGGAATAATTTGAAAATTTTCATAAAAAGTCTTCAGTCATGTAATGTTGGATAGGATAAGCAAAACCTATGAAGCACAAACACTCTAGAGAAGGTGACGAATAATACATGTCGGACACCAACACTCCTAGGACACTCTCGGACCGATACTCTTTTGTCTATATTCATAATTAAATGGTAAAATTTTTATTTCGAACACAGGTCCGATACTTCTTTAGTGACGTGTCCAACACCTCTTTACACCATGTCTTCTACTAAACAATAAAAATGTGATTAACAAAGTTTAAAATTTTGTCTATTAAGTATTTCATAATATGAGAGAACATATAGTTACCAAAACTAAACATGTTGACGTTGTATTCAAAATATAATAACAAAAACAAAAGATACATAAAAGATTTAGCAAAAAGCTCAACTGAAAAAATGAGAGCAATCATCTAAATTATATATGTATAGTACACGGCTACGAAAATTTTGATGACTATTGATAATTATGATGTTAGCGTAAAAATTACCACTAAATGACTACAGGTAACATTTACTTATCCTACTATACTGAATTATTTTTTTGAATAATATACCATTATCACTTTATTTGTGATAAATTATATAATTTTATATATAAAACACAACATAATCTTCTTGGGTGACAGGAATTTCGCCTATTTAATCATGATCTTCTTTTGCAGCATCACCATCTCGCAAGAGAAAAGTTTTTATCAGCCGTGCAGACGTGACGTGATGGGTTCCAGAAAGGGTTTGATAAAGATTGAAATTAACAACTAGAATTAATATTTGAGATTTATTGGATTTTATGTATTAAGGTAGTAGAATTACTTTGGGACTCTAAGTTTAGGGGTTACGTAGTTATTATATAAAGGGGACTGTCGTACGGATTCTTGAAGACAAATAGTATCAACCAATCAGAGCCTGTCTAATCACTATGTCAAAATGATAATACTTTAGAGGTCAACAGAGAAACCCCATGAAGAACAAGAACAGTTGGCCACCAATAAAATCAGGTTCAAAAGAGATTAAAACTCATGCCAGTGTTATTGATATTTGAAACTTTGTGAACAGAGTATTCCAAAACTAAATAGACATGTGACTACTTCATTACTGCTCAAACAAAATAAGAATAACATATAAAGACAAGAAATACTAAGTCGATATGGAAGGTATACTCACGAAACATCCAAAACAAATAGTACACGTACCCTCATGCACAATTCATGCTCTATTTTTAACTGCTTGTCATTGCTCCTCTTCATGCTCTTCTCGAGATCCTCTATCTTCTTTTCCATGAATTCAATATCCTTGAGTTGCATAAAACGGGGAAGGTTCATTATTCCCTTTAACGAATAAGTCATAAATCCACAATATGGAAATATAGATCTTGATCCTGATGTAGATATCACGTTGGACAATATTTGAGGAAATAACGGGAGGATTATTTATTTATTATTTTCGCCCCCGCGGGGGGTATTTGCTATTTAGACAGTAGAAACAATTGGAACCTGTTATCCAGCAAAGACAGGTATAGATGGCGACAGGAACAGGAATGTGAAAATTAGCAATTGGCAAGAGCATATATCACACAGTGAAATAAACTAGATCAATGACATTGCATTGAACCTCGAGATGCAATTCAATAATCTAATAGAACAACATATTATTCAACACAGAACAACCCCACTCTAAATCATACAGAGTCTAAGGGGCCTCAAACCTTGAAATTACGTGAAAGTTCAAATGAATAAAGGGGTGCAAGATCCTACTCAACTGAGGGAATAATCTCCACCTAGTCAACAAAAAGAAACCCAGAAGAAGAGGAAGAATATCATAAATCACAAAGTCCTCTAAAGGAAAAAAAGTCATTGTGACATAATAGTAGCTCCCCTCCATGCCTTCAAGCCAATATTTTACCTATGTTTTGCAGATCAGTACATCCACATGAAATGGAACCATAATTCTGAGGATAGAATTAATCTGTGATGCACTCATATCACCCTACCTTTTCATGTTTCCCTGCTTCGTCCACTCCAGGTCGGTTCTCTCACATCACATGAGTGTCACAGGGGCTGAGCAGAATTAATTGTTTGCAATGTATTCCATATAATCATAATGTAAACTGGGACAAGGTATATTGAGGTTTATTATCAAAGTGAAGAATATCTTGTCCTCTTCAACCACACCTGATTGGATTCCTAAATTCAAACAGGATGAAGAAAGGATTCTATATCATTTGGTAAATAGATTACCACCACAAGAATTGTGGTCAAGGATCAAACTTTTGATTCAGTTTGGACGAAATGACGAAAAAGTTTTGGTTTCGGTGGAATCCGAAATGAAATAGTGATTGGAATTCATAATTCCCATATTTGGCAATATTTCCGGAACAAAATTCTAAATTTTTCTATTTCTGAAACATTTCCGTTCCGACCAGAACCGTTTACCGAGACGAATTTTCAATCATGATTGTTGCCAATTTCAAGATTGTATGATCATGCGTAGCTGCTCATTACCTAAAAAGAGGGGCATTCTAGTAACAAAAGCTGCAACTTGCCAGAAAACTTAATATATATAAATAACAATGAAGCATACCTTGAGCCGCAATTCTGCACTTATAACTTCCAGATCCCTCACAGGATCTACAGAGTCATCAACATGGATAATATCTGGATCTTCAAATGCACCTATAGTAAATGTTAAATGTATATGAATAGATTTCCTGTTGAAAATTACGAAATAGACTAGCGAGGAACCCAAGAAAGAAAAAAAAAAAAGCAGACACTGATAAATTTGCAACAGCACCCCAAAAAAAATAACAAAGTTTAACCCCCACGAATGGGGTCTGGGAGGTGGGTACATGCCTAATCTTTGACAACCAACACAACAAAAAATTGTCCAGTAAAAAACTTGCATACCGAAAATTTAAGGCCAGCCCATGAGTGCAATTTATGTAGCCTCTACTTAACTTGTTCATACTCTTCAAGTGAGAATGCACTTCTGAAACTCTCCAACAACTTACTGACGATCTTTTTTTGGTTTTTGATAGGAAACAAAACTCTTGTATTACCAGAAAAATATAAAAATTGAAAAGTACATCAAGAATGGTTGGTTAAGGAAATCAACCAAAAATGTAGAAAATAACAAAGCAAAAACCAAGAAGTAGAACACATAACAGGCCTACAAATCAATGATGGTCTCCATCCCTATAAAATAGCAAAAATCAAAATTCCTTTGAAGTCTTTAGTAGCCTAAGTCCAGAATAATGCTAGAAAATAGGCATGATCACATAAGCCTTCCAAACACTCATATCTATCTTCAAAAATTCATGCATCCCTTTCTTTCCATATGAACAACCTTTTTTTCTGATAAGAAACAAGAGTCACTGACAATCTAATGAAGGTTGGAACCACAAAAGCTTCTTATCAAATTAGGACCAATAATCAACCTAGCCACGGTAAAGAAATCAACTACATCAAAGCTAACTTATGGTTGTAAAGAATTGTCAAAATCCCTTTTTGGGTGCATTTATACTTTATAAATACTCTACTTTGACATAGAACAAGACGAATGCTCATACGAGCATATGAACAATTACATAACATAACCACAACGGTGGACCATAATTTACGTCTGTAGGAATAGGAAATGAAGATTAAATTATGATTCCTGAAATAATCCATGAAGTAACATACTAAAAAACTTAATCAAATATATGATAATGAAACTGAAACAGAAAAAGCAAATAAAGAAGAAAAGTGGGAAAAATCATCTTACGTAAAACATGGAAAATGCCATCAACTGCACGGATGTGAGATAAGAAATTATTCCCCAATCCTTGTCCTTGATGAGCCCCTCGAACCAGTCCAGCTATATCATGAATTTCTAAGAAAGCCGAAACCTGTCCATCATAAAACATAGAAATTGAAAAAAATGACGAAATTTAAAGCAAGCTCAGAATGGTACTTAATAACTTATAGCAGCAGTTTATTGCAAGTAAAAACTAAGAGGACAGTGATGGTATTACTTAAAGCTTTACCGGGAATTCCCAACATTAAACACAATCTTTGTAGTGAACAGCTATGAATCCCTACAGTCATGAAGAACATGCAAAGCACAATATCCACAGTTGAAAAAAAAATTGAATTTCAGAAACATACCTCGCTCTTTGGCTTGTACAATTGACAAAGCCATTCAAATCGTTCATCGGGGATATAAATTCGAGCTTCATTGGGCTCAATAGTACAAAAGGGGAAGTTCTCCGCTGGTATAGATAACTTTGTGAGTGTGTTAAAAAGAGTAGATTTGCCAACATTTGGCAATCCAACCTGAAAATCAATATAAATAACAAGATCAGAATTTACATCTGGAGTGACAGAAATAGACTCCATGATTGGTAAAGAAACCCAACAGACCTCAAACACTAAAAAACCAATAGCAGAATTGGTAACACAATCTTCAAATTGAGTCAGCAATAAATAAATGAAAAATAGTTGAAAATACAAAGTGACATGTCCAATAAAAAGCTTCAGTGTTTTTATCATTTTTTGCATAAAAAGTATAATACACCTCGCCAGTTCCAAATAGCTAAATTGAAGCCAAATTGAGGTTTAATTAGTAAATTTATATAAGATTTCAAGAAATAAAAGACAAGGATTTAATTCCACCATGATTTTAATCATACCCATAGTATAATGCATATTCCCTCGCCTAAAAAGGTTGCAGATGGAATCGCTAATATTGTCAAACTAACTTCTTCGAAAAAAAAAGAGATTGGTTGACTTAATTGTTTTGTAATCATTCAGCTTTAATATATTCTTGCAATTAGTTGCAAAATAGCTGGTAGTCTTCTCCGTGACACTAAACCCAAGTTTAAAGACCAATGCTGCAATCCATATGCATGTTACCATTTATCCCCCCTGTTATACTTTTCGAATCATGTTAATTTATCTGTCCATATTTACAACTAGCGTTATCAATTGAATCACATTCAGAAAAGATTATAAAATTCAGCGACTCAATTAGAAAAAGATTAAAGACTAGGGATCACACTGACAATATCCCTCAAACTTTAACAACCAATGATTATTTTACATAAAAACTAACTGAAATGGAATATTATCAGGTATCATTTCAACACTTCCCCGGTAACCAAACAAAAAGTGACCAAATTCAGCAAGACACTCAAGTACATATACAAATGCGTGCGTGTGAGTACATATACATCTAAGATGCGTTCCTTAGAGAGAAAGAGAGAGAGAGAAATCATTTCCCACAATTTCACCGTAACCAAACAGAAATGCTAGAAATGAGCTCGCACTACCATAGATAATTTCATTTTCCAGAAAAAGATTAATTTTAGATATCATTCCATTTCACTTTCCAACAATTTCCAGGAAACAAACAGAACACAATCGAAGTTAAACCACATACAAACTAAACAAACGGCTATGTATGTACATATATGTGCATATGTAGAGAAAGGAGAGGTCAGGAGCTCACAATTCCAATCTTTAGGTGAGAAGAGAAGCGGCCGAGGATGGGCCTCTCGGCTGGTGCCGCGTCCTTTGATTTCGCTGCCTTCGGAGGCATTATGATCCGAGGAGAGAGAAAGAGGATTCGTTGGAAATCCTAGGGTTTTGATCTGTGCTTTAGTACCGAGTCCAATTTCAGTGAAGGTGAGTCAGTCATGGAACACACCCAAAAACCCTTTTATAACCCAAATGTTTGTCTCGGCCTAAAAGGGAGAATCTCACTTTATACCTTAAAAATTTAAATATTTTTATTTTATACTCTCAAAAAATATAATTTTTATATTATACCACAAATGTATTAAAAGTATTATAATATGACATTTATGTCAGTTTTCATTACTTATTTTGTTAAAAATCTCCGCATTAATAAAAAATATACACATGACATTTGATGTATTGAAAACTTTAGGTGGCCTTTGGTAGCCACATATTTTTTTTTTTTTCATTTATGGTTAAAAAAAAACAAAAATACTTTTGGTAAATGTTTTTGTTTTATTTTTTTAACATCTCCGTTTTAAAAATAAGGCTAAAATATGAAAACATTCAAAAGGATATTTTTGAAAACATAAAAAAAAAAACACATGTGCGCGATTTTTAATGAGGTATTGACTTCGATCCTCCTTAGTAACAAAAAAATAGATTTTTTTGATACGGTATAAAAGATCATCTCTCTTTCTGATTTCACCCCTCTCTGTTTGTCATATCTATGTCTCTTTCTCGATGCCAATGCCGAAGCCATTGCTATCGCTAATTGCTGCGAAGCCATTACTTTATTTTCAAGGTCACTTCATCTTCATTTCACTCTATTTTTTTAGGTCTGTGGTCTCAATCTCTCTCTCTCTATGATGGTGGGTTTCTTGGGTTGAGTGGTGAGTTTATGTCAATTTTCGTTACTTATTCCATCAAAAATCACCACATTAATGTTGAAGCAAGGAGTATGAAACCTAACAAAATGAGTCATATTATAACATTTTTATGATATTTAGGATATAATACAATAAATCTAATCCCTAAGAGTATAAAATATGAATACATAAATTTTTAGGTTACAAAATATAACTATTCTGTCCTAAAACGTCACTCACCCATATTTAGGATATAATACAATAAATCTAATCCCTAAGGGTGTGTTTGGGAAAGGGGATAACCCCTAGTTGGATTGGGTTACATTGACCGGGGGCCACAAATCCCTGATTTGGATTCATTTTTTTGAATGGGATAGTCGTTGGGCTGAAATCCTTGGCCCGTAGTCATTTCTACCATTTATCCCATCTGACCCACTTTGTTGTATCCCACCATAACTTTGGGATTAGCTAGCCCAGCTACCGGATTGGGCTTGAAAATACTAAAATACCCTTGCACAGTTGCAAAAGTAGGGTTTTTACTTCTCCCTCATTGGTCCTGTGTTACCGCAAGCGGCACCCATTGGTCCCCATTAGAAGGTATATTTCTCTCTCTCTCTTTCTGTATATATATATCTTAATCTTGCCTTGTCGTTGTTTTCCTCTCTTGCCTTGTCGTTGTCTTCCTCTCTACATCTGTGTGTGTGTGTGTGTGTATATATATATATATATATTTCCCTGTGTCTTCTCTTTTCTCCCTCCCAAACTGCAAATAAATGGAAAATAAAATCTAATTTACACTAAATCTACACAAAATCAATACCAGAGCCTCCTGCAACTTTATTTTTTCTGGGTCTTGCAAGGGTGTTGTAAGAATGTGTAATCCCAAAGGCATGATGTATCAACTTGCTTTGTTGGTCAAAATAAAGAAGAATCAAAATCTTGGAGGAGGCACCATGCCTACTGATCCGCAAAAACGCATGAAATTTCGCTAAACAGGTGTTCATAGGTTCTCGATAGATACTTTGCTGGTGGCCTTTGGATATTTCAATCAAGAACATATGTTGGACTGTCATGTGTTTGAAATTTCAGGAGCCAACTCAATTTTTCATTATGTGGGTCAATCTTTTGAAATTTGAACATTTGTCATGCTATACCCAGTTCATGAGGAGCTTCAAAATGCATTACCCAGTTCAATCTTTTGAAATTTGAACATTTGCCATGCAATACCCAGTTTATGAGGAGCTTCAAAATGCATTACCCAGTTCAATCTTTTGAAATTTTAACATTTGCCATGCAATACCCAGTTCATGAGGAGCTTCAAAATGCAGCACCAAAAATTTTACATACATTGCTAAACTCCAGCATATAATGGACGAAAAAAAAATCTACAGTCCGCACTCTTCCTTCTTGTCATTAGATCCGCACTCTTCCTTCTGACAATTAGGATTTCTTTGTTTTGTTAAGTGTTTGAGACTTGTTGGTTGGTGAAATATTGTTGTCTTTGTACTTGAATTTAGATTGTTTTGCTATATGTTCTTCAAATGTAGTTATGGAATGTTGAATAAGATTAAAAGAAGAAATCAATTTTATTGATTTATTCCTACGCTTAGTTCTCGAATTCTTGTTTAATGGCTTTGTTATGCTGATTTCTTAATAAAATTGCTATGATTTGTGTTTTTTATCCCTGAGTTGATTGAAATAATGATGAACATATTTCTATATGGCCATAGAAAATATAAAACTCTATCTTTTGTTCAAGGAGTCAATTTATATTGTCAATTCAATGATTATGAATTACTAGATCAATAATTTATGTTCAAATAATATTACTCTTTATAATTTTTATTAATTATGAAATTAATAAATATAAATCATGTCAGATGATGGGTTTCCATTGAACGATAATAGGAGTTATGATGTTAAAAAAATAATTTTTTTATAACATAATCCAATTTTTAGTATGAAATATATGAACAAAATTGTTCTCAGTATAAGTAATGCTATTTCAACTTAACAATTTGATGTAATGATGTGTCCCAATTAAAAAAATTCAACAATTACAGCTATGGTAAATATCCTCGGCCATGTTACTGTTACATATTAACAAATTAAGTCATATTATTTTTCCCTAATAACATTATAGTCCCCAATTATATATCCTAGCACTTGTGGACAATAAAATTTCAAATAAATGTCCATGGTACTAAATAATCAATGATCGAGATTGCTATAACTAAAATTGACACGATCATTTCGACTATAAATATTTTTATCACCAAGAAGATGATGTATTCGGTGGGAGAAGGTTTTTAAAATATTTCAATCTATTGTTTGAAAGAAATGAAAGTTACAATAAAATTTGTTTAGTTGTCTAAATTATATTTAATTATATTAAATCGGTTTGAACAGTTAAAAAATATGTATGACAGCTTAATATCTATCATATTCTAACTTGAAATATTAGAGTTGTTCAAGACTTCAAGTGTATGAAAGCTGCCAGAGTTTTTAGGTAGGAAGCTAAAGTACTAGTTTTACTTACTTTACATAATTGTCCATATTTGAGTGTGAATTCTTGATACTTCATAGATAGCAAAAGGTTGTAGCTTGGATTTCAATATTGTTACTTTGTTTATTAATCTTGAAACCAAATAATTACAATTGGGATAGTTGTATGTACCCAATAACAGAGAGAGACATAGATAGAGAGACACATTAACTCCTCATGAGGATTATTTGTATTTGTTTAATAAGTTTTCTTGTTTTTTTATTATTTCTAATACAGTTGTTACGTTATTAACAGTGTCTCAAATCAAGGGTTTCACAAGCACTCTTCAGGTACCTAACTTAGAATAATTTTTTTATTTAGTTTTTTGTTATTGTGACAGTATACAGTTAAAACTGTTGTGTCAAATTGTATATTAACGTTTTGACATGCTTTTCTTTACTAGTTATATGTTCACTGAGGTTAGTTGTACATTTGTTGTAATTAGAATATTATATTCTTGTGATTTATTTTGTTGGCCAAACAATATATGTTGCAATATGTTTTTTTTTTTTAACATATCCATGCCAAGTGATAACAATGTTATTGAATTTATTTTTTTTTCATTGAATTAGGTAACCATGGACAACGAGTACGATGAATTATATTTGTTACTTAAGTTTATGCATAGGACTATTCGGGAGATGATAGTGGTGTTTAATCTTGTGGTGTCTATAATGTTGATGATATGGGACATGGAACACAATGGTACAATATCTGAGGTTCCACGACCTTTCAATAGGTCTCGGTTACAGATTGAACACTTGCACCGTCTCATTGGCGAGAGTGACAGGACGTGTATAAGCCAACTTAGGATGGATAGACACACGTTTATAGTACTATGTAATCTGGTCCGTGATGTTGGGCTGCTAAGACCAACTAGGCACGTAAGTGTCGAGGAGATGATGGCTATGTTCTTAAGTATTTTAGGGCATGACGATAAAAATAGACCAGTTAAGTTCAATTTCTTGCGCTCTGGTGAGACAGTTAGTAGACATTTCAACAATGTCCTTACTGCGGTGTTAAGGCTACGCAGGCTATTGCTTCAGACGCCTGAACCAGTGCCCGAAAACTGTACAGACCCTAAATGGAAGTGGTTTAAGGTAATCACCATTTAACATTCAAGTCAATATTGATTTTTACACCATATAACATGGATTTTTTTATTTCATACATCTTTATAAACTTTTTTACTCACTTGCCTTTGTAGAATTGTGTGGGGGCATTAGATGGCACATATGTTCCTACCCGAGTACCGCTTGTCCATCAAGCTAGATATAGAACACGTAAAGGTGGTATAGCAACCAATGTGTTGGGTGTATGTGCACCGAACATGAAGTTCATATACGTGCTTGCTGGATGGGAAGGGTCAGCTGCCGATTCTAGGATATTGCGTGATGCGGTTAGTAGGACAAATGGGTTGAAGGTAGCACGTGGTATGTAGCATATTATATATATATTTTATAAGTATACTCACATTTACATGTGTTTGGTACGTGTAACAAATATATTCTTATAAAACACAGGCACGTATTACCTAGTTGATGCGGGTTATACAAATGGTGACGGATTTTTAGCACCATTTCGGAGTCAGCGATATCATATAGAAGAGTTTGGGGCTGCCTCTGCAGCACCAATAAATCCCGAAGAATTGTTTAATTTGCGTCATTCTGATGCAAGGACTAGCATTGAGAGATGTTTTGCTTTGCTAAAAAATAGATGGGCGATTCTTAGGGCACCTTGTTATTAACC